GAAGGGGTCTGAAGGCCATGGCTGAGCCAGGTTCATGGGCAGCTGCAGCCAAACGAGCCCCTGCCCGACCCCGGGAGCAGAGGAGGGGTTCGCTGTGCTCCCCGCGGCTGCGTGGGCAGAGCAGCCCCTCAGCCCATGCTGCAGAGCCTGTTCCCACAAGCCCTAAACTCTATCCCCCACATCCTGTGCCATAGCTTAATGATCATAGAGGTGTTTTACTAACAAAATTGGGGCAGAAGGCTGTTTGTTTCACTGGGTGTGCGGCAGCAGTCCTCCTACCCGTGGTTGTTCAAGAGTGTTGGGGAAGAGCCTGTGTTTGAGCTTTCCTGGACAGATGATACACCAGCAACCCCGGTCACACTTCCCCACCACACCCCTGTCACACTGGGAACGTGGTTGTGGCACGAGAAGATCTGCGAGCTGGGCTGGTGGGGTGGCACAGGAGCCTATATGGCCCTGGGGGAGGGGAGCGTTGAACTGGCCAGGCCAGTTTTTTCATTCAAACCAGCTACTCCATCAGGGGAGCACAGCCAAGGGGTGTTTTGGCTCAAACATTCTGTGGGGGATAACACCAAACCTCCTCCTGGGAACTAGCACAGACCAGCTGCCAGGTCGGGCAAGAACAGTGACCGTCACTGGACAGCCATTTCCCCAAAACAAAAGGGTATGAAAACTGAAGTCCAACCTGAGGAAAACATTAAACTCAAGAAGAGAAGTGTAGGCTGAAATAAGGGATTACACCCCAAACACGTCAGTATTTGAGCCGCCTGATTAAAAGGAGCAGGTTTTTTTATTTTTTTGCGATGGAGATGGTACAAGATGAAAATAGCAGAGGCCAGGAGGAGAACTTGTTCTAGAGAACAAGTGTCACTTTATTTTTCCATATTCCTTGCAAGTTTCTTATTTTTAGGACTCCAAATGATAACTTTGCATATGCAATATCTATATTGCATTGCAATAGCTATACCAATACTAATCCAAATGGTTTAATATATTTCTTTAAGCCAACCTGACATTGTTTCAGTGAAACTCCTTTGAAATGCCTTCGATGTGCAGCTGGCAGGTCTCAGATGAGTGGTATTTGGGGAAGGAGTCGGGATATCATTCCACACTTTGCTTAACCTTCCAGTACATGGTGCCAGCTGTAGCTGCAGTGTGAGGTCAGAAGGTGTTTTTTTTTTTTTTTTTTTTTGCACCCAAAAGCACGTAGCTCACGTTTGTAACTTGCCCTCTCAAACCGGCTGCTGGTGCGAACACCGCTGGCACACCAAGGTGAGCAAGCCGCTGCCGCGGAGCGTGGGACCGATGCCACCGCAGGGACTCGCATGTCTCTATGACAAATCTCTCTCCATCAGCACGTGGTAAAGCACAGACCCAACCCCAAAAGCTTTCCCTTTTGCACACTGCTGCCCCGTACAGTGAGCAGGAGCGAAAGCGCGGGCAGGATGGCGGTGGAGCTGAAAGCTCCTGCCACTGAGCTTGGTCTGCAGACGATCCAACAGCAGGAGCTGGGATTATTAATTTGAACCGTGTTTTGTGGGGGAGGAGAGGTGGAATGGGGGAAGATCAGAGCAGAAATAGCTAGGGAGTAGCAGCTTGCAAGAGAGAAAATGTAATTTCCACGAATCCTGGAGGTACGTGCATTTTAGCTGGACTCTTCCTCTAGCTGGCACCTTTGAGCAGTGCCACGTGTATGGAAGGTGCTGGCCCGGTCCTCGTAGCGTGCGGATGGGGCAGCCAAACGTGGCAGAAAAGCTCAAGGGCAGGAGCTACAGGACAAGAACACAGACGCCAGGAGCAGGAGGCAAACAGGCTGGGTGGGATTAGAAGTCTTGAGTGAGCTTCTTCCAGCTCCCCCTTGCAGTCTTTCCACTGCAAACATAGCAGAGGGTGGAAAGAAGAGGATGGGGATGGCAGGATCCAGCACTAGAAAGAAGAGAGCATCAAGCTGTCAGAAAGCAGCCTTCACATTGCTATTGTAGATTACTAAGGGCTAACAGCTGCCCTGAGCTGCTGCTCAGTCTGGAGAAGTGGCTAGCGCCTGGGTGAAGGATGGCTTCTTCGCTTCTTTGTACTTCAACAGTTCTATGCAGCCTACTCTTACAATTCCTAAAGCAGCTGCATAAATAGGAGATTATATGGCTAAACCATCCCTTAGACCTCCTTTGACAGCAGAAAGCTGATTTTTATAACCCTGCTCGTTAATTACCTCAAAATTTGGATCCAGCTGCTCTAAATCGCAGCATTTATTCTGCAACTTACAAAGCCAAGTACAAGGCAGAAAGGGCTAAAAGCTGAGGGGTGGGAAAGGACAGCAAAGAGAAATTCACAGAGCAGCCAAGTGGGCTTAATTAGCAAGTTGTTTCAATTGCACTGGTTATCCTTCTGGGACAGCAAAGTCAAGAAAGACCTTGCCTTGGTGTCTCCTACACAACTGCCTCAGAGAAGATGAGGGTGCACAAGCAACATCCATGCTGACGGTGCTTCTGAACACAACGTCACTTCTAACAACGGCTTGTCCCTCGGATTATTTAGTTTTTCTCAAAGGACCGGTATATTTGGAACCGAGCTTTGTCAACCTGTTTATGTAGCATCACCTGGATTTGTTGCCAGTGACTCGGTTCATTTCAGAAAGTGTTTACAATAATTCTCTCGTTGAAGAAAACTGTGAGGAGCTGCAAGGAGCGCAGTGCTTCACTTTTAATTAGAGAAAGGGGAATTTATACATGCAGGAGACAGGTAAAATAGGTCCACTTGGGGTAGGCTTGCTGCTGTAATCACTATGGTTTTCAATGCACTTGCACATTTCATGTGAAACTAGTTCACAGCATACCCGGACCATATGGTACATTGAACTTCTCAGCATCTTGCTTCTAACAGCACAGCACTTGTTTTCTTCTCCCTGAAGAGACTTCCACTCCCCAAAAGACTTCCACTCCCCAAAAGACATCTGTAAGCATCAGCTTGAGAGCTTACTGTCTATGGCGGTAGATGGGGCCAACAGGACCTGGTCCACGGATCAAACTAGTGTAAAACCCACTTCTGGCCTCAGCTCCAGAATAGGCTACTTACTAGTAGCAGGTAAGCAGCAAAGGGAGATTTTGGCCAAGAGAAACCTTAGCAGAACTTGCCTTTTTGCCTCTACGTTCTTGCTTTTCAGGTTTAGCCTAAACCATGCATGATCCCTTGCCCTTTGGGCCAAGGGCTTTTCAGGAAAAGACAGGCAGTCCCTACTGCCCCTTGGGGCTGGGTTCATTACACCTCAAGGGGAAAGGTAGCTTAAAAGTTTTAGCTGCCCACATCCAACCCTTCCTGCTACCCTTTTGAAAACCCAAGTGATTATGCTGCTCCAACTGGGCTCTTCTAATATTGACAGATGGCCTCATCCAGCGAGCAAGTGACACTTCTGCAGAGCCTTTGGCCCACACGAGGTGGCTGCTCAGACCACAGTGTTAGCACGGTACTGAATTTTTAAGAGTGAGAGGGAAGATGACAAGCTTATCTTAGCTGAATAGCCATACACAGCAATGCCAAGGTTTCCAAATTAATAAAAAGCCAACAGCATTACAGATAAATGTATTTTAATTAGGATTAAATACTATCTCAAGGTATCTTGAAATCGCACTTGTACTGTACTAATCAACAGCCAGAGGCAATAAAAAAAGTCTGAAAACGTAAAAGTTCTAACATCCAACACATGACAGTTAAGTGCTGCCATTTAAAGCAACAAACACCGCTCCCAAGAACAGATATTCTTAGAGGAAAAGAGTCATAACATTTTTGTATGGACAAAAAAATTTAAATTGAAGACCAGAAGAAATATGTTAGTGCCTGCCTTTTTAAAAGGGTTGGTGGTTTATGGTTTGTTTTTGTTGTATTTTTTTTTTTTTACATTAAATACAGTTTTCTTTAAAAGCAAGGTACTTTCTAAATTCATGGTTTATATACTGTATGTACACAAGAGCAGAACATCGTACAGTGTTTTTGGATAAAGCAGCACTAACTAGCTATAAGCTGGTATGGTGTTGCTGAACCAAACGCAAGATGACAAGTTAAGCACTCTAGGAGAAGCATCTCCATGGTTGGTATGAGAAAAGTAAAGTATCATGTATGTACAAACCGATTATTCAATCAAATCCCGCAAAAACACCATTTGCGATGGAACTGTACATGCTGCAGCTAATCAATGGAAGTCTTACTGCAAGAACTGATCCAAGAGACTCAGAGTAACCATTTTTTTTTCAGGAACAAAGTGCATTACCCACGCAGAGAGCACTTACGCAAGTCGACATTGTGACATATCACCCCTGGGCTGCAGGGCTCCAAGGAGAGCAGATTCTTACTGCAGCCTCAAGTTAAGAAGCCACCTGCATTTTTCCACTATACAAAATACAAAATGCCCCAACGAAACCATAGGAAATTGAGATTAAAGCTATATTATTAAGTAACCGTATGTGCACTCTGCCTTTCTGCAGATAGTTACGGATTAAAGCAGAAAGTTTGCAGCCAAGTATCACCATTTCAGACTAAAATGGACTGGCAGAGATTTCCATAATTAGTGCAACATTAACTCCTATACTTTATCAAAGTGACTTACTGCTCTTCAGACGCACAACGTGCTTATTCAGGTTTTACAAAAACAGACAAACCAGAATGTTGTACAGAACACTGGTTTCAGGTTTGTAGATATATATATATTTTTTTTTTTTTAAGTCTACCCCATTAAAAACTCACCAAACTTAGAAACAGTTTGTGCCCTGGTTCAAAGTCAATTGCCTCAAAAAATGACTTTTTATTCAAGGGTTAGCAGTGGGGCAGAGAGATTAAGGTTGTTCTTGTTACATACCCTTTTAATTGTCATTCAGTTTACATCTTCAGAAGAGGTTATTTGCTGTACTTTCCGGATGCTGTTCATCCTTGTCTTAGCCACTACACTGGTTTAAGGAACTGAATGTTTCTTCTTTGATGAGGACAGAAGTGAGACAACTTGTTGCTAAACTGCATCAACTTAAAGTTTCAAGTTTTAATGGTGTAAAAATCTTGACATTCAATTACAGTTAGAGAAACTTGCTACACAGCAAACTGCATCCAAACCTACAAGTTATTGATGGGACCTTTAAATTAACCGTTAACAAGTTATTCAAAGCATCCAGACCTGGAAACATCAGATCACCCAGCTAGTGAGCCAGCAACTCCCTCCCCTTTTCATGAGGCTTTAACAAATGCAACCGATGTGACCTTAGCACTGGAGCCAATGACTTCGATTGGTTAACTCCAATACCCAAAAGGGCTAGGGAGATCCTGTGTTAAGCCCAATGCAATATGCATTAGTGTCACGGAGCAGGAAGATCCCAGTGTCTACTTGTTAAAGTTCACACAAATCATACAGATACAGACAGGATAAAACACAGACTCAAAAGGATCCATTATGCTTGAAGAAAATTCCAAATAAAATGACATCTTCTGCACAGCCCAACCTCAGACACAGCCACACCTTTATCTAGTATAATAAACTCTGTAGTAAACTGTTTTTGACCTCCATAGAGAGTAGGAGTTGTCAAATTTAAGAAGATAAACTCCTCTCCCTGGGTACTGGTGGCTGCCAGCATACACTTCTTCGTGACAGTCTCGTCTGTACACAGGCACTATTTCATCTAGCTGAGGCTTGTTGGCATTCTTTTTGGCTTTTTCTTCACTGCTAGTATTTTCTGCAAGGAAAGAGAAAAGTGTCAGTTCACACAGGTGGATGCTTTACAAGATAAAGTCAGACTGATCTGCAGTGGACGAGGCACTCTCTGTTAGTTTAGAGTCAGATGGGTGGAAGGGGCTCATACCAAGGCTGTGGCTGAAGCATTCAAAAGCAGGAGGAACAGTAAGCATCCTCACTTTATCATGAATTTTACAGTTTGATATTAAAATTCACCACACCCACCTCCTCAGAACCGCTGGGTCAGGTTGTAGCAATGCCAAGCTCTACCTTTCATTAAGACATCACCCTGCATTGACTGCTACTGATCCGACATACTTACTAGCACTGACTACTTAGCAGTAACATCCAGAAGACCACTGCTTCCTATGTCGGAGCAGTTTCTTCTAAGCAAATAACATGCTCATTTCAAAACATTTTTTTCTGATGGTATGCTAGACTCCTCTGCAGGTAAAGGCTGTGATCTGTGTCCTGGCCACTATCAGGAATTGCTCTTTTAAGCTGTTCTGCTGAAGTGTCAAGGAAACTTCCTCCCTAGAAAAAGCTCATGACCAGCAGGGCAGGATTTCTTCTTGAGGTTTTCAGTGCACAGATCCATTATGCTCTACGACAGCACAGGTTTCAGTCTAGCTTACTGAATAGCTGAATTGGACAAGAGGCTGCATTAAGGAGTAAGTAAAACTTAGGAAAAGGATTTCCCCACCCTCAGTTGCTTTAACCTATCTGTGACCAAATGAGGTAACTGAAGTTACCTTCAGAATTGCACTTCCTGTTCAAAATTGAATACAAGATTCCAGCTAGATAGAAGTCAGGGGAACTAGGAGATTACACAAGACAATCAGTCAGGTCTCTCCCCACAGCAAGCTCTGCAGGCCTGGCAGTTTATACAAATAAGCATGCTTACCTTCTTCTTCATCCTCATCATCACTGGATTCGCTGACATGCACACTGACTGCAGTATTAGGGGAGTCTGTCCATTCAAAATACACCCCAAAACCAATGTCATAATTGTCTGTAGCAAACTCCCAAAAGAGGTAAGACCCTTCTTCATGAGTTGGTACTCTAACTGTAACCACTTCTCCTCGGCCCACTGTGATCACAGAGTCTGCATCCTGCCGGATTTTTTCCTTGAAGTCTTTTATCTGGGGTCGTGTCCACATTGATGGGGCAGCTATCACTGGAACAGAATCTGGAGAGAAGGGAGGAAATACCCCAGTTCAGCTTTGTTTCAGTTACTCATGCTGCATACTTAAGTGAGCCTTAAGGGCATTTGAGGACCACAAGCATCAGAGTTGCTTCCAAGTAATTTTTTTTACTTTTTTTTTTGATTGGAGAAACAACTTTTCACAGTTGAAACATGCAGGAAACGCAGTGCAAGTTTAGACACAACACTGCACACTTAAATCCCACTGGTTCACCCATCCGCCACAGTTAAACCAGCAGTGCTTAGGCAGAAAAGGCTCAGAAGACAGACGTACTGCTACAGGTGATGGTTTTACATTGCACAAAACCCTTCACCTCAAGGATCTTTAACATGAGAGAACCAGAGGATGTGCATTTGTTTAGGGATTGTCAAATATTGACTAAAACAACGTAACACCTCATTATGCAGTCAGGGATCATGCTAGTGTTGGTTCCATACTGGGATCCAAGCAAGTCTTTTGAGGACTATCGGTTGTGGATGAAAGTATAGAGGTAACACCCAGAAACAGTAGCAACAAGGGAGCTTCTGGGAGGCTACTTTTCCTGCTCTACTGCCACAGCTTCCTAAAAGCTACCTGAGGAAGGTGGGAAATGTGAGGGGACAGCATTCCAGACTGCACATAGGACAGGGTTAAGCCACAGGTATGGCAGGATTCAGAGAGAGTAAGAAAGATTTGGCTTTATTTTAATCTGCAAGGCTAAATCACTCAGTTTTCACCAAAGTTCGAATAAGATTGAACATATTTCTGCACAGAATAGCTCTCTGCTAGAATTTTTATGCTCCTTTCCTTCAAGACAAGAGTGAAAGGAAGCTCTGGATCCCATCCACTTTGCCTGAATTGCTTTTGCTGCTTTCTCTTTCTCTCCTCTCAAAGCTGAGTTTCGCTTGTGCAATGTTGTTCTCCCTTGCGAGAAACTGGACCCAAGAATCAAACCTAACTCTTGCATAGCCCAATGAAGCCAAGCAAAGAGCCACAGTAACCACATTTAAGACATCTGAATCCTAAGAAAGGCTTTCACTATTTATTTTTAATAAAGGAATCTAGCTAGTCCTACCTTTTGGTCCATTCTCCAGTGCTTCTTCCAAAGCCTCTGGATCCAGCTCTTTTTCAGGGCTGTCTGCATGTGCACTGGCCTGCCCATTAACAGATGGGGTGTCCCCTGGGGCAGATGCATTCACCTTGGATGCAGTAGTCAGAGGTGTCCCCGTCACTGCCACAACCGCCTCCTGCTGTTTTTGTAAGGCTGCCTAAAATGACAGAAATTAAGTCGAGTAAAACCAAAACCTCCCAAGATGACTCCCTCCTCCAGCAGAAGGTATAAAGACACTTTAAAGAAAAAAAAACCCACACAACCTCCCCCTGACAAAAGACCAGAAGCAGCACACATTAACCAGTGAGAACTACATGTATTTAGTATCAGGGGGAGCGAAGTCACTTTGTTCTAGGCTGGTGGATACAATCTCAACAAAAAGATTCAATTTTCAAGCTTATTAGGCCACACACAATAAACTCTTGCACTTAACTACAGAAGTTCTGCATTTCAGTAATTCGTACAACATTTCTTTCAAAACTGAAAGTGATGACTTGTTTGCTGTTTTTTACCCATGGGCTGAAAGGGTCTTGGCCTGAGGTCATTCAGGTCTAAAAAGAGACGGAAGTATTTAGGTCTTAAGTACTTGCTAATTTGTGAGCTAGCTTGCTCGAGGAGGTTCTCTATCCAACCCAGGACACCCAACAAAGGCAGTTATTTAATATGAAAGCAGGAAGCACAAGAGCCACAAGGACTGCTCTTGCGTGGTCTGGGAGAAGAGTTATTCAAGCTCACAGGTGCTGCTTTCAGAACACGATTTATGTTCATTGAAACTCTTTAGATAGAATTTATCATGCTGTCCCTGTGCAAAGGATTAAATACACCTAAAATGAGATTATACAAGGTAACAACCATCCTTTTGGATTTAAGCAGGATGCATTACCCCTTTAGCTTCAAAGCTTATTCCCCTGCCCCTAGTTATCAGTAGAGAGAGATTACATATGCTTCTCTGTTAAGACAGCGGAAAAAGTATAATTGACAGTATGTTCTTTAAAGAATAACCCAATAAGCACACGACTTTGATGAATGAATGGAATACAGGTATTCTGAAGGAATATGAAGACAACAGAGTCAAACATCAGATGGATTTCAAGTTTGAGCAATTGTACAGATTCTGCCCAGATCCACTTTCTATCACAGCAGTTCTATGCACTGAGACAATACAAAGTGGGAAGAACTTTTCTACAAAACTACTGCATACAACCTTTCCAAAATTAATTATATCACAAGCTGATACATAAGCAACCATGTCAGAACGGCACTTTTAAGGGCACTCATAGATCCCCAGGCAGCTGAGTTACAGGCATCTGAAAGGAAAGCATTCCTCAGAAGTGTTACAGAGGCTTCCCGAGTCTTCAGGGAAGTCCAGAGTAGAATTAGATAATTTTAGCTGTTACATGCTTCTTTTTCATCCTTTCCTCTACAGGAGTTGTCCAAACAAGAGATTTGAAAGAAAAGCTTCATTTCCTGGCAGATTTCTTATTCTGTAAGCCACTAAAGGAAAGCCTGTTTTGCCCAGATCTTGGAGGACATAAGTCTTCTGTACATAGAAAGCAGACAGCCATGACTGAAAGGAGCAGTGCTGATAGCACTGAAGGAAATTGGCAGCAGTGTCTCTGACACCTCAGTCTCAAGGGAGAAGTATCAATTACAGAAGGCACCAAGGACAAGATGGACGAGGCTATAGCTTTTGCTTACCACTATGACACCAAAGCATTGGTACCAAGGCGTCATTAAGCTTCAAGAGTAACTATAACAGAGCAAGAAGCCTCTGACTTCCCTATACCACTAACTCCATCGAATCATGGAACCATTCCATGGTTTGTCTTGGAAAGGATCTTTAAAGGTCATCTAGTCCAACCTCCCTGCCATGGGCAGGGACATCTTCCACTACATCAGGTTGCTCAAAGCCTCATCCAACCTGACCTTGAACACTGGCAGGGATGGGGCAGCCACAACTTCTCCGGGCAACCTGATCCAGTGTCTGACCATTCTCATTGTAAAAAAAAAAAAAGTCTTCCTTATGTCCAATCTAAACCTATGCTCTCTCAGATTAAACCCATTGCCCCTTGTCCTGTCACTATGGGCCTTAGTAAAAAGGCCTTTCTCCATCTTTCTTATAAGCTCCCTTTAAGCATTGAAAGGCTGAAATAACATCTCCCTGGAGCCTTCTCTTCTCCAGGGTGAATAACCACAACTCTCAGACTTTTTTCACAGAAGAGGTGCTCCAGCCCTCAGATCATCTTCATGGCCCTCCTCTGGACCTGCTCCAACAGCTTCATGTCCTTCTTATGTTGGGGAGCCCAGAGCTGAACGCAGTACTGCAGGCGGAGTTCACCAGAGTGGAGCAGAGGGGCAGAATCACCTCCCTCGATCTGCTGGCCATGCTTCTTTGGATGCAACCCAGGATACAGTTGGCTTTCTGGGCTGTGAGCACACATGGCTGGCTCATGTCCAACTTTTCATCCACCAGTCCTTCTCCTCAGGGCTGCTCTCAATCCCTTCACCCCACCAGCCTGTACTGATACCGGAGACTGCCCCAACCCAGGTGCAGGATCTTGCACTTGGCCTTGTTGAACTTCATGAGGTTCATGTGGGCCACATGGGTTCACATGGTTTCCTTCCTTGGACAGTTCTTTGCTGAGGACATCAGCCTCATCAAAATACGAATTACTTAACAGGAAATTAGTTACCGAATTTTAAGTCTTTAGCTCAAGAACAATAGACCCCAGGCTCGCAGTTATAGGCTATTTAAGATTCAGGTCCTGCCCACAGAGGTCAGATGTACTAGAGTCTGAAGTCTGGCTTACACCTGTTTAAGACCAATGGACATCCTTGAACTTTAAATGGCTTGAGATGTGAATACGGTATATTTGCCAGAGACATAAGATTTCCCTAAACAGAGAAGTAGCCTTTTGAGCCCAGGCACAAAACCCTTGCAAAGAAGTAATGTACTACAGCCACTCGTTGCTATATGAAAGTCCGTCCTCCCACCCAAACCACGAGCAGCCTATTGCAGGCAAGCAGCTTAACTGGATACTGACATCAGACAACAGATGCAAGAGGAGAGAGAAGTCAGCAGCACTCAAGGTGACTGTGAGGAGCAATCCCAAACCTGGTAACAATGTGACAGTGCTGCATGCATGTTTACCTGGAAATGCATGGCTGATCAAAGCCTGCTGCTCTGCACAGGTCTTCAGGTGTGATACGCACATGGAGATGCTCTAGAATGGGTTGGTTTGCACTCTGATGCACTGGTATGTACCCCCATTAAATTACACACACAACAGATGTTGCAGCAGAGCACTTAACATTTGGTCTCCAAGAATAATATTGAACCAAGTAATTAGTAAAGGTTGCTTAGAATTTTCTTAACTAAGAGCTGCTTCAGAAAACTACTTGAAAAGATTAAATATAGGGGCTTTGGTGTTTGAATCTGAAGCAACATTAGTTACTAGGACACTATCTCTCCTTGTAACAATTATCTTTTCAAGGAGATAACAGCAGACAAATGAACAACTCCCAGAGACAGCCTGGGACACAAAAATCTAAGTTTCTCAGCTGGTTGGCCATACCTGTTGTTGTGCAAGCTGGACTTGATACAACTGCTGCATGTATTGTTGATAATGCTGTTCCTGGAGCTGCCGAATTAGGATCTGCTGCTGTTCGTAGTTGCCCGGATACTGCTGGGCTGCATACTGCTGGAACTGAATGGCAGTCTGGGAGTTCAGTGCTGCCATTATCTGTTGCCTAGATTGGTGGGAGGAGAGTAGGAAGATTACAAGCAGCTGAGGATATTGGGGAAATCCCTGTACTTAAATCACTTAAGTGGCCTCAAAGACAGTTAATTCAATTCCTGCAAAAAACAATTAAAACAGATCTCCATAATAGAGCAGAGCTCAGAGGTAATGTAAATGTGAACTTTGCCTGAAAATATTCTGAGAATATAAAGAAGGGAGCAAAAATTTCTATCCCAATGTTTGAAAACATTGAGCATAAAAAAAAACCAAACCCAACAAAAAACACCAACAGCTCTTACATAATTCTCAATCTGTAGTCTGATAAAGAGGTAGTGCTAGAAAAACACGAGTAAATTCCTCAAACAAGCAAGGGAAGAAAAATCCTCACACTTGGCTTCTCCAGAAAACATGCAGAAACCATCCTTCTGGCAGCCATTCTACAAATATTGATAAGAATAGACCTGCTGTGGTACAGCACAGCAATACTTTCTGGTGAATCTTAGAACACACCACACCACTATCCTAATTTCCCAAGACAGCATGCAAACACATGAAAAAACATCACTGACTGTGGCCTAATTCAGGAATGAAAAAAATGCTGCCAAATAGGGCATCTGTGCCTCCAATAAACTCAATTGCTGAAACACTTTAGGAGGAACACATGGGTTACTTCTGCACAGGCTCAGTTTTCCCCCTCTCTCCAAAGGGCTAATGAACTATATAGTAAAATTCCTAGCTACATCCAGGGTTCATTTCGTCTCACATGTTACATCCATCAGTGACCAGATATCGATGCTTCAGAGGAAGAAAAAAGTATCACATAAACGCAGGAATAATTCTTTCCTTCTCACCCTCCTTCCTTCCCCAAAAATCATCTTCTAAAAGCTCCAGTATTAGACTGGTTTGTATCCTCAAGGGCAAGATTTACTACTCTTCAGCAAACTATGACCAATTGGGACACACTTGGCCTGTATATATGTATCCACATTCCTTTTCTGTCTAAACTCTTTATCTCTGTAACCTCCTACAACCACTTAATACACAATTGCTATTTATGTAAAAAAATCTCTTAATTTCAAGGCATACCATACTTAGCTCTGTGCCACATTTTTTAAATTGTATTCCCTGTTCATTTATGTCTACAACATTTCTCTGGCTCTCACCATGTCAAACAAACAGTAAAACTTGTAGATCAATTATTCGTTTCCTTCTCAAAACCACTACATAGCAAGTGGAGGATCTACTTCAGAGACATCCCCTGCAAAGTCATTTTTGTTACGGAGAACGGTTGGCTGACAGATGTGGACAAGCTTTAACCTAGTCTTCTCTTAAATATTACATGTGTAAAGCAAGATCCATATTTTCAGCATATGGATGTGTGGGAACAATGAAATATAAACTAGAGCTGTATATTCTTAGTAAACAATTAAATTCTGGCTACAAAGAGAGGTAAAGTGCATGTGAACATAAATTTTGAATACCTTTTAGAAAGGCACTAAGATCCAGTGATTGCCAGTATACAGGTGAGACCTGCAAACACTTCACGCTTCCTAGAAAGGAAGCGACCTTTAAGGAGGCAGTGTTACAACTACCAAATTATAAAATTTCAGCCATGCATTTAAAACACCCTACTGAACTGCAGTTACCCTTTTTTCAAGGCTCCACCTTCTGTGAAAGGATAGAAGCTTTCAAGTCACAGTTCAAACACCACTTCCAGCCAAACGCCGAACTCTGCTCAGCTGAGTGCAGCATTAATCACTTAAGAAGCAGAGCCACAAGTTCTCATGAGGTGCAGCCCTTGAACCCCAAAACCTCCAGAGCTTCTCTGGCACTTTCATCCGAGAAGGCTGCATACAATAACACATAAAGATAATTACTCTCTGCAAACCGTGTCCCTCTTATCTAAGGATGCAAGTGCCACCGCCACACTCGAGTGCTCTGAACTTCAGATATTCAGTTCTAGCATAACTATTTAAACAGATAGATACAATTGTCTTGTATTGCAAGACAATCTTGCAAGGCACTTTCTTTGAAGTGGCATTTGTTTCAGCTACTCACTTCTGTTGTTCCATGCGTAGCCGTTCCTCCTCTATTCTCCTCCTCTCTTCTTCTTCCCTTCTCAGTCTTTCCTCCTCTTCTCGCCTACGTTTTTCTTCTTCTTTTTGCAAACGCTCACGTTCCTCCTCTTCACGCCGCCTTCGTTCTTCCTCTTCTCTTCTGCAACATCCACCCACTAAGCTATTTCATCATTCCTACAATCCTAGGATGAGTTATTTCCTACGTGCTATAACCTGCCTTTTACCTGCCCAATAAGGCTTTTCATTTGGTATCACCTCCTCCCACTTAAATTGGCCTGGAGAAGTGTCTTATTGGACACAAGAGGAAAACACATACTCTGCAGTATGACAAGCATAAACTCTGTGTTATAATTTGATGTTCATTCTAACCTGTTACTATACTATCTCTAGGAGAGAGCAGTAGAAAAAATCGCCTGGAAACCCTAAACACATCTTTCAAGCTTTAACATATGTTCAATAATTACATAGATACTATAGTTTAATAACCACACAATACATAAATAATAGTAGAAGACAGCAACTTGACAAAGGCTAACCCACACTCGAGGAGTTGTTTAAAGCACCTGACAATTTCATGTTTTATATTTGTTTAGTCCACAGACACATCAGGGCAGTCGTTTTGTGAAGTGTGTATTTCTTAAGCAGACGAGCATCAGCAACATTTTTAAAACTCCTTATAGTCTAGGTGTCTTCACCTCAGAAACAATCATTCATTACTGGCAATGTAAAAAGGCTTAAAGAGATCAAATGGTTCCTCCCAAGACAACTTCAACCTAAGCTAGCTGTGACACTGTTCACAGGTCAAAAGTTATACACTCTACATACTCCAACACCAAAGGACTAAAACATTACCTTTTCTTTTCTTGTTCTTCTTTCTCTATCTTGTGGGAAGTGACATATGTTGAAAACAAGTGGCAGCACCTATTCAGGAGCTTAACAAATTCTGTCATAGCTTTTTGCTTCGACATGTTTCCAAGGGCAGCCCATTCCTTCCTGAGAGAGAGAGAAACCAGCTGAAAGAACAGAAGACTCTTTTCAAGTCAGCAGTGAATTCTGAGAATGCAGCAAAGGGAAAAAAGTTGGGAAACCAGAGATCAAACTTTATCATATGCAGTTTCAGAGAAGCAACAACTTTTTTCCCAAATTTCTGCCTGCACTAGAACAACTCTTTCAAACTGACATAACTGAGTGTTTATATGAAATCTCACACATAACATCAACCCTACTTAGAATTCTGAACTACGTCCAAAAGCTTCCCAGCTACAAATGAACTTGAAACATTTTTTACCCTTCTTCCACTCTAGCATTTGGAAAAAAATGCATACATTTTCCTGTGCCACCACAGTAAGCGCCACAGTTTATAGTGCTTCGGTTAGTTGAAGCAACAGCCTGGATGCTCCTAAAGGAAAACTATGTCCATCTGGACAAAAGCAGCGCACTGGATCCAGCTCCAAGAAGCCAGTGCTGTGTTGCACATCACCTTCACAGTAGAAACAGCAACAGTGAACATTAGAAGTGCAGCCTGAACTGCCAGCAATACAAGAGACACGCCTGAGACTGCCCAGATCTCATGAAAACTTACTCAGAGTTTGAATGCATCAGGTATCTGATTTCAGAAGTTATCTTTGGTATCAGCAAAAGCTATGGTGAATGCTGCTACCATTGGCAAAAGACTTGGCCTGCTGTAACCTGGTGTGGAGTTAGGACAAAACATGGGCCTGCACATTCATGCACAGCTAACCAAGTCTAAAACTGCTATCAGAAACTGGACTGTCAGCACAGCAGCCTTTCCTAATGTGGCTGAAAAAAACCAATAATCTTCTGTTAGCTCCTTTACTGGACTGTGACTCAGATTGCTAAAATGTATTTGAAGAGGCCATTCTCACTTTCCACTACTGTACACACATATTGAGGCAACCCACATACTCGTCTTCTTACTGCAAAAACTGGATGATGTTATCTTCAGACAGGAAAAGTAGAGTTAAGACCAACAAGAACACTGGTTCTTTTACCTTCTATCATTCCCCAGGACATCAAAGAATCCAACTTCAGGGCAAGTGTCAGGGTTGTAGGGTCCCAGCAGAACCTGCTTGTGCAGCGCCACAAGTTTGAGTTTTTCTTCATACGTCGGATGAAAGGCTTTGCCATCTTTTTCTGCAGAAAAAAATAAAAGGAAATTTCACTGCTATCATTAAGCACAGGACAGCAAAGAGCATTTTGCATAACCACTACCATGATTTCCTCCATAAAAAAAGGAATAAGAAAGATAAATCACAAAAGGTTAGACAAATTGTCACTTCTATTCAAAATAAAATATGGATTTGTCCAGAAGAAACACATCTGCTTCAGCTGCTGAAACGTAATTGTGAAGTGTTTTTCATCACATCATGTAGAGTCATTCTTAGCTAGCAAGTTATCACATAAATATTTATGTTAATTAGATGAACATCATACCATATGGATCTTATATCTCTGAAATATTTAAAAACCTTAACTTGAATTCAAACGTGTCTGCCAAGTCTACTGTAGTGTGGATAGGAAGGATTTTCCACAAAGAAAGACGTGATGTCAGCTTTATAGATTGCTCTCCTTTCATGCTCTTCACATTGATAAAAGCAGAACAAGCAAGGTTTAAGGCAAGGAAAACTGCAGAGAGGAAAAATTAGAATTAAGGGAGAGTTTTCCTTGAGGGAATTTTATTGCTGCACTTTGCCAAGGCAGCTGGAATAACCTCTCACAATGAAAAGTCTTAGAGGTGACTCCATCAGCACCAATATGTACAGAGAGCTCTAACCATAAGACGCAGGCAACTTAAGCCTGAGCATAATCAGAATTCCAAGGGCTCCACACCAGCACCTTCCAAAATGGTCCCGGTAAGATCCCACCACACATTTACTGGTAAGAAGAGACTTGCATTGATTTAAAATTATGTATGAATGAGTCAGCTAGGACTTACCTCAGCATGCTTAAACTGTCAAAACAAATCAAAGAAACAGGCATTGCTATCTGTAATTACACTGTGCATTAAGAGGAGACCTTTTTCCTGAACAGGAAAACAAATAAATAGGCATCATCTCCTTTTGGAAGGGCTGAAACGAGGAAGCCGTTATCAGATGTAAACAACAGACATTTCATATGACTGTACTACTAACTGCTCTCCGTGTAGTCAGGAACCACAGGCGGAGCTGCCACTAGTTTCCAGGTCTCCTTTTACACTAAAGGTCACTTTGGAGCAAGTTGTTTACAGCCCCAAACTGAACAGTCCAATTCACACTGAAATTTTAGGGCTGACATTTACATATTGCAAAATCGCTCAGCTGATGCTTGTGAACAGAGTTATTAACAGGAAAAGAAGCAAATCTCAGAACAAAGGAGGACGGGAAATCTCTCTGCTATGGCTTATTGAGAAACTCAGAGTGAATACCTCTGAAAACTGGAAACAATCCCAGAGGGAAAGCGTTTACAGGACACAGCAAGAAGTTGTATTTTTGACAGTAAGTTCAGTACCACTTGTTTTGAAGACAGAATCAAAGAATTAAGGAAGGTAAACATTTAATTACTTATTACCCATTCCTAGAAGTCCACTTCATTCTTCCAGAATCCCAAGTATTTGCTCTTCTCCCAGTGTCACACAACCTTACAGCAAATATAGCTTCCAGCTTCAAAAACCAGAAGCTTTTCTCCACGAACATATCTATTTCCAAAAAATACCTGGTGAAGTGTAAAAGGGGCGGATGTAAAGGCTGAACCAGAGTCTACTCAGTAATATCCAGTGAAAAGAGAAGAGGCAGCAGACGAACTGAAATAGAGGAGATTCCACTCAAGCATGAGGTGGCTTTTTTTTTTTTTAAACTGTGAGAGCAATCAAGCACTGGAGCAGGCTGTCCAGAGAGGTTTTGGGGTCTCCATCCCTGGAGACAGGCAAAAGCCAAACAGACACAATCCTGAGAAGCCTGCTCTGACCAGGAGGACTAAACTTGACAACCCTTCCCACCCCAACAAGCCTATGATCCTCAAGAGATGCAAATCACCACGTCCTGGTAAGTTCCCTCCCTGGGTCTCAGGTCTGCTCTCAGGCCACCAGAAGAGCCCTTTGGTTTTTCCTCAATTCTACACACTTCACATTTAATTCAGAACTTACTAGGCAGCAAGCACTTCCAGTGGCCTCGATAAACAGCATGCACTTTGAAATCATACTTCATGTCCTGAGGCAGCGTACTTAAAAGCAAGTCAAATGATAAGGGTACTACACGCCAAAATTTTGCCAGGCTTCTGAGCAAAGTACACTTCTCAAGGGGGTCCCTATGGCATAGTTTACCTTACACAACCTGTATACCTACAGTTGTCTGCCAAAAAACATAGCTATTGGCTGTACTAGACTGCTGCCTAAGCCAACATCACCAGTGTTTGAACTCACTTCTGAAGAGGGTTAAAGGGGAAAAAAACATCGTTTCCCATGCTATAAACAGTACGCCTGCATTTTCACAGAACAGAGAAGTCAGACCTCAAGCCCTGACTAGCGAGAGAAGCCAAAATCTGCATTTATGAAGAATGGTGAACCACGGGAAGAAGCAGCAAGCTAAATAAGAGAGAAAAACAGACAGATGAGAAAAATATGAGACGGGCATTCAGTGACTTGTAGATAATGCAGATTAGAAGCAAACTCTCAGCAAAGTATTTGGAGCCAGTCAAGAGACCAACGCTGTATAGTAGCTATTTTTTCAGAGCTGAATTCTTCAGCATGAACCACACTGTATAATGATCCCAAAGATTTGGAATTGTTGCCATTAAACTGAACCAGAGGACCTGAAGTCATCTACAGAGTCAAATACACCAAAAAAGAGCATTAGTGAGTCCAGACAAGTAGAAGTACCAAATTTCTTTGGCCATTTGTGAACATACCATTTAAGTAGGTACTACCCACACATCTAATACATCTGTCAGAAAGCTGAAGAACATCAAAGAGCTCTAGGGAACACATTAAGAAATCCAAAGGATGTGCGCAGCAGTCGTACAGCAACCATACAACCCTCCCTATGCCACTGGTATGCCTGACCCAACAGGGCCAGAGAAAGGCTCGGCTTTCTTACAGAAGATTAGGAAACTTCTTTCCTGCCAATACTTCAAACCATCATTCACCTGAAACGGCAGTTTCTCAAGTCAACTAAACTCTTAACCGCGGTCACTAACAAATCAAACTCAAGCAGTGATGAAGGGGATGGTTACATGAACAAGGCAGGCTATGGACCTACAATGCTTTAGGCATTCTGCAGTAAGGACACACATAAATGTGTGTATATACACACACACACACATATATATATGTACTTCACTGATGACATGAAGCAGTTCATTAGAACACAGAGAAAGTCTGGCTCCCACTTACGGCACGCCTTACTGATGCGTGCCATGAAACCACGACATACTGTTACCACTTTGTCACCCCTGGAAGTGTTCAAGGCCAGGCTGGATGAGGCTTTGAGCAACCTGATCTAGTGGAAGGTGTCCCTGCCCATGGAGGAGGGTTAAGGTTCCTTCCAACCCAAACCATTCTATGATTCTATGAACTCCCTGCACACCTAACATCAGCTCTTCAGACTACTGCTCTCCTTGACAGTGGCTACTTTGTTTAGATGCCCACAACACTGGGATTGCTTGAGGGCAACTCAGTTAAATACTCCAGAAAACTAATACTGGGAACACCAACAACGCTCCTTGCACTGCAGGTAATTAACTGTATACTTGAAGACCACTGTTTGTGTTGGCATGCAAACATACTCCAAAGATGAAGCTATAACTAGTAACCAAAAGCCAATAAGGGAGGCTTATGTCACTACGTAGCATTGTACCATTGACATGAACTGGTATAAAACCACAAATTCAGACTCGAGGGAGTTTAAGAAATATGCTTATGAAGAGACTGCATCATGCAAGTTACCGTTACGCCCATGTAACTTCAGATTAGTTTTATCCTGGAAGAAACATGGCACAACATGCTGTGGCTAACCCTCCAACTTCACCTACTGCACTCACTCTAAATGCCTAATTCCCATGGGATGGCAAGAGTCGAGTCATCTAGAAGAAGCTAGAAAACAGTTTGTGAAGTGTTATTTTTCACCTCATAGCTTTTAAAAGCCGAAGTCATGTACGTTAATGCTATTCATTTGCAAAGTTTTAATGAGCAAGACCAAAACTGAGAAGCACGACAAGTGAATTACTGCCTGCAGATCCCAGCACACACTCTTACACTCCTCATTCTCCTCTCCTGAAGATGTTCTGCATCAACAGGAGTTACCAACCGGCCCTTCCAATTAAACATGATCAAAGCTCAACTTCACATCAAACGTAGAAACGTTATAGGGGTTTTCATATTCTTGAAAACAAGACCCTACTTAACTTATGAATTACAATCATGTCATCAAATTAGCCCTAAAAAAAAAAAAAGATGAGGTCACACAATTAATTTAGAATGATGTACTGCTGAGGTTGAAGATGCATTCTTGTCAGGATAAGAGGAAATAACTTGGAGCAGTCAAACAAAATTAGAGTACTTAACATACCAGGAGAGCTTTTATATTACAAAATGATACAGTTTGTATACTGTCTACTCAGATGTGCTGCACTGCAAATCACTTCAGGTCGTGCGTGAGCACTTCAGGGACTGTCACATATTGAAGGTTGGGTGTAATGGTATTTCGATGACAGGATGTGGAAAACCATAAAGCCAGGTTGATACTGGAACAGATTTGCTGGCAGAGCTAAGCAAGCCACTCCCTCCTACTGCAGGACACAGCTTATACCTTAAACAAGTTACCTTCACCAGCATAACTCCTAGCAGCTCAACAAGCAAAATAAGCTGTCAGATACGCTTCTGCTCTGCCAGCTGCCCCGGGGCACACAATTACAGACAGTCCAAGAGATGAAGAAACATACCCATTTCAGTAACATGACTGTGTTCTCCACTGTACGCTGGATCCAGCACAGCAGCTTCTTACCGGCAGCCAAAAAGCTGGTCGACCTGAACTAGGCTCCACGGAGCCGGAAAGGGAAGTATTGTAAGGAAGGCTCCTGTTTCTCAGAGAAAATGAACCGAAACACTATTAACTACCTATTTTCTATGCCTCTGTTACTCTGAAAAGCTTTCTTCACAAGCC